TCCGCGCCACCGCGCCGGGCACCACCGCCCCGGCGACCACCGGATCCGCCCCGGCCGGCCTCCTCCCGCGACTCCGGCGGCCAAGTCCGGCCAGCTACAGTGTTCCCCGGCGCCGCCTCGGAATCCGTGCCCGCGCCAGATCTGGATCTGGGCTAGGTTGACCTCTCCCCCGAAACCCTAATCTTCCAGATTTTCGTGCTATCTTTGACTGATGTTATCTCCGCAACCGTAGCTCCGTTTTGGGCATATGATATATCAAAATCTTCGCCTCGACATGTACATCATTTCATTCCATTGCATCATTTGCATTTGAGGTCATCTTGATACCCAAAATGCTGTTAGAAGGAGGCTTCGTGAGTTAAATTGCAGATCCGTTAGTTCATCATGCACTTTTGTCATTTTTGCTATATTTAATTCGTGCATGATATGCCTGTGCCCCTTTGGGATGAATTGTGGAGCATTTTGTCTTCTTTCCAGAGGTGCCACCCATGCATTTTTAGGATGTGTGTGTTGTCTTGTGCAAGCTTGCGAAGAGAGGTACCTGAGATTGCAGATTTCAGGGACTTGGTGATTTTCACTAAGTCTGGGATATTTTAGTTCATGATGCTATATGTCCAGCTTGTTTCCTAGTGTTCCGTGCCTCTTTTGAGGATGATCAGTAAGGGAGTTTTGATATTTATGTCATGCTCTATCCATCCATGTCTTTGTTGGCATTTGTGGAGTGCTCTAGGTTGACTCAATCGAGCTCAACTTTTGCTTCGTTGTTAATCTGGGCAGATCGTCAACTTGTTTGCGATTTCGCCGATGCTACCGTTAGAGTTCCATGCATGCTATGCCTTCGTTCTTGCCATGTGTAGCTAGCACTTTGTGCCTTCTTGCTGGTTATATTCTTTCCTTGCCATGACTTGCACCATAGTGAGTGCATCGAGCTCGTTTACATGCCTTCGTGAGTTAAATTTCAGCATGTCTCAGTTTTCACTAAGTCTGAAAACTGATTGTGTTCGAGCAATGTTCGTGAGCTCGGTAGAGTATTTTGTGAACCCTTTTGGCCCCAGGTCACTTTGGGTGTTTTATTAAGCTTGTTGAGTAGCTCCATGCCATGTTTTACTTGTCATGTTCAGGTTTTCTATCATGTTGTTTTGCTGCTCCGAAGAGAGCATCGTGATCTGAAATTTCAGACTAGTGTTAATTTCACTAAGTCTGAAATCTGTTGTGCATTTGCGTTTTAGCCATGCTTGTTTGAACCTCTTAATGGATGAATTTGCCTATGGCTCAGTGCTAGTGTTTTGTCAACCATCTTGGGTACATCACTGCCATGTATTTTGTTTTCATGTTTGGTGGCTGTAGCATGTTCATTTCGTTGCATTTAGATGCCTACTTGCTGTAAATCGCAGACCGGTGTCATATCTTAAAACGCTCGCCATTTCCAAACCGTAGCTCCGATTCCTATGATCTTTATATCGTTTTCAAGCGATTTCATCCCCTCTATCCAGTGGCACACTTGGTTTCCCAAGTTGATGCCAGGTTCATGCATTTCCTGTCATATCTTGCATTTTGCATCCCGCATCGCATCCCGCATAGCATATCGTCATTTCATCATATTGCTTGGTCTTGCCCGTGGTTGATTGTATCCTTGTTGCTTGTTTGTCTTGTTGGGTAGAGCCGGGAGACGAGTTCGCTACCGAGGAGACCGTTGAGTTTGCTTGTGAGGATCCAGTCAACTCTGACAACTGTGCAGGCAAGATGATCATACCCTCGAAATCACTACTATCTTTGCTATGCTAGTTTGCTCGCTCTTTTGCTTTGCCACTGCTACGATGCCTACCTTTTGCTTGTAAGCCTCCCAATTGCCATTGATGAACCTCTAACCCACCTTTGTCCTAGCAAACCGTTGATTGGCTATGTTACCGCTTTGCTCAGCCCTTCTTATAGCGTTGTTAGTTGCAGGTGAAGATTGGAGCCGTTCCTTGTTGGAACATTTATTTACTTGTTGGGATATCATTATATTGCTATGTTATCTTAATGCATCTATATACTTGGTAAAGGGTGGAAGGCTCGGCCTCTCGCCTAGTGTTTTGTTCCACTCTTGCCGCCCTAGTTTCCGTCATATCGGTGTTATGTTCCCGGATTGTGCGTCCCTTACGCGGTTGGGTTATAATGGGAACCCCTTGATAGTTCGCCTTGATTAAAGCTTTTCCAGCAATGCCCAACATTGGTTTTACCATTTGCCACCTAGCCTCTTTTTCCCTTGGGTTTCCGGAGCCCGAGGGTCATCTTATTTTACCCCCCCCCCCCGGGCCAGTGCTCCTCTGAGTGTTGGTCCACCTGTCAGCTACCGGTGGCTACCAGGGGCAACTCTGGGCTGGCCTACCCGTACCTAAGACAATCTGAGTGTGCCCTGAGAAAGAGATATGTGCAGCTCCTATCGGGATTTGTCGGCACATTCGGGCGGTGTTGCTGGTCTTGTTTTAACCTGTCGAAGTGTCTTGAGTTACCGAGATACCGAGTCTGATCGGAACGTCTTGGGAGGAGGTCTATTCCTTCGTTGACCGTGAGAGCTTGTCATGGGCTAAGTTGGGACTCCCCTGCAGGGATTGAACTTTCGAAAGCCGTGCCCGCGGTTATGGGCAGATGGGAATTTGTTAATGTCCGGTTGTAGATTACTTGAACCAAACTTAATTAAAATGAATCAACCGTGTGTGTTACCGTGATGGCCCCTTCTCGGCGGAGTCCGGGAAGTGGACACGGTGTTGGAGTTATGCTTGCGCAGGATGTTCCTTTAGCTTCTCGCTCGTGCTTCGCCTTCTCTTCTCGCTCTCTTTTGCGTATAAGTTAGCCACCACATATGCTAGTCGCTTGCTGCAGCTCCACATATATTTGCCTTATCCATTCCTATGAGCTTAAATAGTTTTGATCGCGTGGGTGTGAGATTGCTGAGTCCCTGTGGCTCACAGATACTACAACTCCAGATGCAGGTCCAGGTGATTCTGCTTCAGTTGACGATTACGAGCTCAGGTGGGAGTTCGACGAGGACTCTCAGCGATACTACGTGTCTTTTCCGGATGATCAGTAGTGGTGCCTAGTTGGGGTTATCGATTCAGGACCTTGTCGCATGTTGGGGGTCTTTTCTATTTTGGCGCCGTAGTCGGGCCATGAGTGCTTGTTTGATGGATGTTATTTATGCACTCTGATGTGACGTGGCGAGTGTAAGCCAACTATGTTATCTCCCCCTTTTATTATATATTACATGGGATGTTGTAATGATTGCCTGACTTGCGACATTGCTTTCAATGCGGTTATGCCTCTAAGTCGTGCCTCGACACGTGGGAGCTATAGCCGCATCGAGGGCGTTACACACATCATCCCCATCCTCTCGTCTCACGCACGCATGCACAGGCACACGCTGACACGCATCCTCCGATTCCCCATCCTCTCAGCGAGGTTCTCAGGATGTAGCCGCCGTGCACAGGGAGCACCACTGTGCACCGGAGCTTGTTGCCCGCTGTCTCGCGGAGCAACCGCCGGAGACGCCCGCGCCCCGCGGGATCTCGCCTAGCCCTCGCCGCCTCGCCCCTGCCCTGCTCCCTCGCGCCCTCGCCCCTGGCCGCGGCGACGCCTGCCGGAATCTTACGGCTGTTCTCCTCCAATCCCCGGCTGTTCTGCTCCAACCCCCTGCCAGCACCAACCAGCAGGGCAACGCGCCAACGCGGGCAAGTAATAATATTCCCCCAAATTCCTAATTTGATAAGCAAAGCAATAGTCTGATCTTGTTCAGTTCCATACATCGATTGATGAAGTCTGCTACTGCTAGTGCTAGTGATAACTAATAGACTGATCTTGTGCAAATACAACAGAGGTAGCAGGCAGGCAGAGGTAGTCATGGGCAAGGAAAATCGGACTCAGAAAAGAATTGATTTGGTGTTTAAAAGGAAAAGAGATGATATAATTGAAGTTGAGGAAGACCAAGTATTGCCCTTACTTGAATTGGAACAGCAACAACCTGAACAACAACATAACCAAGACGGAGGAGTTCGAACAAATGAAGTTGTTACATTCCGGGGTATTGAGTTCTTGCAGCGGGATCTTGGATTGCGCCCTCAAATTTGGCAATATCCACCAGACCAGAGAGATATCGTGAGGAGAGCATATTTGATGTTAGGTCCTATGCAACCCCGCCTAGAGAACTATAAACCTTCTGGTGAACCAGGGCATCAACGCCGCTTCCAATATAGTTGGTTTGATGATTTTCCGTCATGGCTAGAGTATTCAGAGGAGAAAAGTTGTGTGTATTGTCTATATTGATTTGTCTCCAATAACAAAGAGAATACACTAGGTGGTTCTCATGTCTTCACGGTACATGGATTTGACAGTTGGAAGAGGGTTTGTGGGAAACATTGTGCATTCTTGACCCACATAGGATCTGGACCATGCTCACGACACAACAATGCAGTCACTATTGGTCATACCTTAATGAAACAACCATGCCACATAGAGAACGTTATGGCTATGAGGGACAAGGAGAAGGTGGAAAGAAACTGTTTGCGGCTGAAAGTCTCAATTGCGGTTGTTAAGTGGCTTGCATTCCAAGCTTGTGCTTTTAGAGGCATGATGAGAGACCACAATCAAAGAATCAAGGAAACTTTCTTGAAATGGTGAAGCTTCTTGCAGAATTTAATCCTGAGATTGCCAAAGTTGTGTTGGGAAATGCTCCATACGGCGCAAAATACACATCACATGATATCCAGAATGAGATCTTGAGTATATTTGCATCTAAAATCAGCAAGCATATTCGTGAGGAAGTTGGAGATTATAAGTATTCTATTTTAGTGGATGAAACATGTGATGCATCAAAGAGAGAGCAAATGGCGTTGGTTATTAGGTTTGCTGATAAAGGTGGTATTTTGCAAGAGAGATTCTTTGATTTGATACATGTAGCAAACACGAGGTCATTGACACCGAAAAATGAGTTGAGCTTTGTTTTGTCAAACAACGGTTTTGATATTCAGAACCTTCGAGAACAAGGTTATGACGGCGCTAGTAACATGAGAGGCGAGTTAAATGGATTGCAAGCTCTTTTCCTCCAAGAATGCCCATATGCTTATTATGTCCATTGTTATGCCCATCGCTTGCAACTTGCTCTAGTTGATGCATCTAAAGAAGTGGTTCCTGTCTCCCAGTTCTTTCAGAAATTGATATTTATCATAAACACGGTTGACTCATCTTCAAAGCGCCATGACGAGCTTCATCTTGCCCAACTAGTTGAACTAGAAAATGGAATCTCTAATGCTAGCATCGAGACAGGTCAAGGGGCAAATCAAATCCGTTCACTTAAGCGACCAGGAGACACAAGGTGGGGTTCTCATTTTGGTTCAGTTTATAGCCTTATGAAGATGTTTGGTCCAGTTTGTTCAGTTATCCAAGATATAGCCGCCGATGGATCAATTGGCTCAATTCGTGCAGATGCAGACACTTCTTTTGGCTACTTGTCCTCATTTGAGTTCATTTTTATCTTATGTTTAATGAAGGAAATCTTTGAAATAACAGAATTGCTTGGCCAAGCTTTACAAAAGAAATCACAAGATATTGTGAATGTTGTCTGCCTAGTTTCCTCAACAAAACAATGTCTTCAGGAGTTGAGATCAGATGATGGCTACCAAGTATTTATTACTACGGTTGTTGAATTTTGTCTAAACCATTCCATTGACATTCCAGACTTTGAGGAAACATACATCATGCGTGGTGGTCGTGCTCGTCGTCAACCTGATCAGTTCACCAAGGAGCATTACTTTCGAGTGGAAATTTTCTTTTCAACACTTGACACTCAACTATTTGAATTAAATCGAAGATTCAATGATAAGGTAATGGATCTTCTAACCATTAGCGCCACCTTGATTCCTACAAACAAATTCAGAGGATTCAAAGCTAGTGATATATGTGAGATGGTGAAAAAGTACTACCCAGCAGATTTTCCCCAAGATATTTATGGATTACAACAGCAACTTAAGCACTTTGTTTCAGATGCTTCCAAGGATGATGATTTGAAAAACATATCTACCTTAATTGATCTATGTCAATGCCTTGTGGAGATAGGAAGACACACCGTCTACAATTTGGTTGACAGATTACTTCGGTTGCTCATTACCCTTCCAGTTTCTACAGCCAGTGCTGAACGCGCATTTTCTAGTATGAAGATCATTAAGACAAGATTGCGCAATAAGATGGAAGATGAGAATCTGGCTAATAACTTGTTAGTACACATAGAGGGTGGAATTTTGGAGAACTACAGCCATGAAGATGCCATTGCAGATTTTATAAGCAAGAAGGATCGGAGAGTTGATTTCTAGTATGTCAGTAAGTCCATGTCTAATGTCTACACTTTTGTATTAGTTAACTCAATAGTGACTCATGGTTGAACTGTACTTTGATACATATATATATATATATATATATATATATATATATATATACATATTTGCTAGCTCAATCTTGTGACCTGGGTGCTTGTAACATGTCCTTATGAGTCAGAATTTGAAAAAAAATTGTGCTCTTCTTAAGTCTGGCCCGCCCAACTTTTCCGTTCAAGCTCCGCCACTGGTCATGACCATTGAAGATTATATATATATATTCTCCCGTTGCAACGCACGGGCCCTTTTGCTAGTTTCCCCGAAGAGGAAGGGATGATGCAGCACAGCGATGATAGGTATTTTCCTCAGTGATGAGACCAAAGTTATCGAACCAATAAGAGAACCAAGCAACACTACGTAAACAACACCTGCACACAAATAACAAATACTCGCAACCCGACGTGTTAAAGGGGTTGTCAATCCCTTTCGGACAATGGCGTCAGAAATTGGCAAATAGGCATGATAAAAATTCGATAGATGGGATAAATAGATCTCAAATAAAATAAAGTGCAGCAAGGTATTTTTGTTTTTTTGGTTTAATAGATCTGAAAATAAAAGCAAATAAAATAGATCGCAAAGGCAAATATATTAAAGAAGAGACCCGGGGGTTGTAGGTTCATTAGTGGCTTCTCTCGAGAAAATAACAAACGATGGTGAACAAATTACTATTGGGAAATTGATAGAAATTCAAATAATCATGACGATATCCAGGCTATGGTCATTATATAGGAATCACATCCGAAATTAGTAGACTGACTCCTACCTGCATCTACTACTATTACTTCACACATCGACCGTTATCGAGCATGCATCTAGTGTATTAAGTTCATGCAAAACGGAGTAATGCAATAAGAACGATGACATGATGTAGACAAGATCTATTTATGTAGAAATAGACCCCATCTTGTTATCCTTAACAGCAACGATACATATGTGTCGGTTCCCCTTTTGTCACTGGGATCAAGCACCGTAAGATCGAACCCATTACAAAGCACCTCTTCCCATTGCAAGATAAATAAATTAAGTTGGCCAAACAAAATCCAAATATAGGAGAAGAAATATGAGGCTATAAGCAATCATGCATAAAAAGATCAAAGAAGACTCAAATAACTTTCACGGATAAATTGATAGATCTGATCATAAACTCAAAGTTCATCGGATCCCAACAAACACACTGCAAAAAGAGTTACATCATATGGATCTCCAAGAGACCATTGTATTGAGAATCAAACGAGAGAGAGAGGAAGCCATCTAGATGCTAACTACAGACCCGTAGGTCTACAAAGAACTACTCACGCATCATCAGAGAGGCACCAATGAACATGATGAACCCCTCCGTGATGGTGTCTAGATTGGATTTGGTGGTTCTGGAACTTGCGGCGGCTGGAATTGATTTTTGTCGACTCCCCTAGGGTTTCTAAAATATTGGGGTATTTATAGAGAGAGGCGGTTCAGGGGGCACCCGAGGTGGGCAGAACCCACCTGGGCGCGCCTAAGCCTCTAGGCGTGCCCTGGTGGGTTGTGCTCCCCTCGGAGCACCCTCGGGTGCTTCTCCGGCCCACTAGATGTCTTCTGGTCCAAAAAAATTCCCAAAAAAGTTTCGCTGCGTTTGGACTCCATTTGGTATTGATTTCCTACTATGTAAAAAACATGCAGAAAACAACAATTAGCACTTGGCACTATGTCAATAGGTTAGTACCAGGAAATGATATAAAATGACTATTAAACGATTGGAAAACATCCAAGAATGATAATATAACAGCATGGAACAATAAAAAATTATAGATATGTTGGAGACGTATCAGCTATATGATGGAAAAGAATTAGCAAATGAGATGCAGAATAAGTGAAAAGATTTTTAAGACGGATATAAATGATTTCTTACAGGTGGGGCCGGGTTGAGCTTGCAGAACGGTAACATTCCTGTCTTGTTACAATTTTCTTGAGGTTCCCCAAGCAAACTCTTCACTGTTTTATTTACCTCATCATCGGTAAAATTACTAGACTTGTACCGCTAAGGATCATTTGACTCGCCTGAGTATTCACACATCAAGCCAAGATGGTGACTTAAGGGGAGGATTCTCCATTTAACCTGACATCGGGCCAGATCAACTCCCGTTAGCCCATTGGCTAACATGACCTTCACCTTTGGGTAGGACAGGAGTGCTTCAGCATGTTCTTCTGGAATGAGTTTGCTGGGTGGGTTAAAGTCTATTGGAAGTCGGTCAGCATGATAACCCGGCAGAGGATTTTCATCAGCTGGGGCGGTATTTTTGCAATAAAACCAAGTCTTAACCTAGCCTTTAGGGTGACTTGGTAACTTAGCTGAAGGAAAGTCGCCATCCCTGTGTCTCTGGATTGAGATTCCACCCAATTCCTGACATGGGCCATCCGCACACTCAGTTTGGCGGTTCATGTAGAATAATTCTTTGAAGAGAGCGACAGTGGGCTCTATTTGCAGATATGCTTCACAGAAAAATTGAAAGTGTCAAAGATTTGATATCGAGTTTGGGCCTATATCTTGAGGATGAAGATGGAAATAATGCCAGACATCTCAAAAGAACTTTGACTCGGGCGGTGTGAAGCCTACTTCCCCTTCGTCGGGTATAGGGACATTTCTCCTTTACTGACTCGCCAGCCGATTTCGTCGTGAGTCGCCAAAATACTTTGGTCTTGAAAATCTTTAAGTATGGCTTCGGTGACTAGGGAAGGCCCCCAGTTGTAGAGACTGGCTTTTGACATATTGGGCCGCCTAAGTACGATGGAAAACTACAGAAATAGAGTATGGTGGGTTACTTGAGAAGAAATGACTCGACATCAATAGTTATATGAATAAGGTAGTATAATGTTAAGCCGCCTTAAAACATAGAAGCGGTTTAGCTACATATACATTTATTG